CAATAATACTCAAACCCAAGGATGCTTAACCCTAAATATCCCAAGACATTTAACCAGATGCACTTTTATTCATAGGCCTTTTCCCTTACATGTGAACCCCATAGATCATCTTTTAAGTTGTTCTTTTTTGTTTGCTTATAAATAACTTCTCCATCAACCACTTTAGGGTTGATTATTGTTTATCTAAGAAACTTCGTAAATACAATGCTTACAATCATATTAGTATGATATAAACATCATAATAACAAAGCAATATCATGAGCAACACTCATATCGCTATTACAAAGATTTATATGAATATCAAGTGCTAACTCTATTACACAAAATGCACTATAATACTACACCCCATTGATAACCTAATACTATTAACTTTTGTTCACAACATAGATAAACTCATGCCACTCTCTATCTGACTAAACTCAACATTAATCCAAAATCAAACTACTCAAGGAGCAATAACAAAGTTCCCCATAAAATAATTATATATTGTAACCCAAGCCTTCCAATAGCAACTCTAAGCAAAATGTTTTAGCACTTCACCACTATCCATCCCATGACTCACCATTTATAAGACCATCATAACCAACATGTATTAAAGTAAAGATTCTTGATTGCATGATATGAACATGAGCAATGAGATTATACCTCATTATGAATTATTTCTCAAAAAAGAGAAGATGATTTACACATTTGATCTTTCATCACTAATCACTCCCTTTTCAAACTCAACTTTGATTAAACCTCAAGCTTGCATTCATATTGCCTTTAGTCCAATCTAATAAAAGTTTATAAAAAACCACAGCAATGTTTATATGAACTAATAAACTAATCCCCATAATCTTAATTGATCCACTCATTATCATGCATAGGAAGGAACCACTAATGTCATGTTAAATACCAACCTATTCACCACTCATAATAAATCCAAAATAAGTTTACTTTTTACCCATGATAATATAAAACAATTTATGGTAACCACTAATATGTTAACATTAATCCTGCAAACTCAAAATGTAACCTTATGTTGCTAATATATCTCACACATGAGCCCAAGCACAAACTTGTGCAAATGGTACATCTCAATCCATCCTATAAGCCCAAGTGCAAACTCACACAATCTAGTACAAAAAGGTAACCAAGATCCATACTTATAGAACAAATGTAAAATCATAGCACCCAAATGTCTACTCACTTGGATTATTATCTTCATTTTTACATATACACACAAATGGAAGCTAGACTATGCTTCAGGTTAATCGGCCATACTCGATCTACCCACTATCCCTACTAGCATTTTCCCTTTATATTTAAACTATAATAAACTATTATATTTTACTTTATGATTATCTCTTTTGAAAGTCTTAACAAGTATATCAAACCATCAATTTATAGCTAGAGGTACAAAATATCATCTGGTATATACATAGCTATATATGATGCCACTCATAATACTCCCTCTCATGTTATAAAATAATGGTTGCAATGAATTGTAATTTCTCATTTGATATGAGAGGACATTTTTTTTTGTCAACTACTAAGGGTATTTGTGATTGCTATTAAATACTTCCTCTTTAATTGAGTGGTGTTTTAGCATTTGTCTAGAGAAAATTTTCTTAAGATTTTTTTTTGTATTTATGGGTGATGCATTTCATATTTTGATATTCTGATTAGGAATATGTTTAATTTCTCAATTGCATAATGATGTCCTATATTCCCCCTTAAATAGGAGAATTGTGGTAAATGTGGAGAAAATGAAAGAGATAGTTGTCAAGATGATATTGAAAATGTAAATACTAAAATAATAAATTATCAACAAAAAATATAAAATTCTCAAAACTATCATAAAGCCTTCAAATCCACAACTCACCATTTAACTTCCTAAACATCATGAAGAGGAAGTAAATTCACCTTTATATTTTGTGGATATTGAAAATTGAGTATAACAATCACCAATAGCACATAATCTTCATCTAGAAAATTCACTAACACTAGAACAATAAACTCTTTAAGAATATGAAGAGAGAGAGAAGGAGGGAAATAAGCTTGAGATAAAGCATCAATATCAAACATTGAATTCCCATAGTGATAACAAACCTTGGAGTTGTAGATTTGAAACTTTAAGGATTTCATGATTTTTGGATAACACCATAATTAATAAAAGAGAATGATTTATGTTTTTTCAATTAATTAAGGGTCTTAGGATTAAGTTTAAATAGTATTGTGTTCAGTGATGAACACCATTTTTTAATATCTCCTTGACATTTACTCATATGATTTTGATTAATATTGATTAATATTGGTTGATTAATATTGAATATGAACTTTGATCGGATGAGCATCCCTAGATGGAATAAGATGGCCTATTAGAATCTTGGTCCCAAGAGACAAGTCAACATTGAAAAGATCACCATTTTCCTCTTTGAGCTAATCAACCTCCATGCATAGAAACCTCCATGAGATAAGGAATAGAATAAAAAGAAAGAAAGACAGTAAGTAATGAAAATAGAAGTAGAAGCACAGGGGAAAAATGAAATATACGAAATAAACAAAAAATGAGAAATGAAAGAACTATGAGGAAATATACAACAAAGAGAAGTTTCAAAGTTGCATTTGGCATAAGCCGCTACCAGTCTCTCACACCAATCTGACCAAAATATTTGTTCTAGGAAATCCATCACACCCCATCTATGCTTGGCTGGGAGCAACACAAATCATTGCAGGAGAAGCTGGATGCATAATCAAGAGCAGCACTAGTAGCAGTGGCAAGAATCTCTAGCACGTGATGATTTTTTCTTCTGCTTCTTCGTTCACTCTATCAAGTTCGTTTCTATCAGGCCAGAGAATGGTAATTGTCTTTCTTTCTCTCCTTCACTACATTGAAAGTGGTTTTTCTGTGCTAGAACATCAAGAAATCCTTAAGGTCTACCTTGATGATGATACTACTGTTAGAAAGCATGCACAACTAGGGCACTGGTGTAGAAGGTCTTGGGTTCAATCCCTAGACTGTCCAGATCCATTTTCCAACATAGTATCAGAGCTATGGTTGGATGGCCTGTGGTAGGCATGGATTGGCAGGTAGGGAGATGTGGCCTGTTCAGCATAGAGGGGAGTGTTAGAACTAAACTGAGAATGCACACAACTAGGGCAGGTAGCTCAGTGGTACCAATGTAGGAGGTCCTGGGTTCAATCCCTAGCCTGTCCAGATCCATTTTCCAACAACTAGGACACACAGACAAATATCCATGTTTCGAACAGTTGAGGAACTAAATTCAAGTTTGCCATACAAGCGTCCATTCTTTCAGGTATGGATTTCGCTTTCCATGTCTTGGTTTTTCTTAACACTTATGCTATAGAACTCCGAGGTCGATCTGAGGCCACTTCTAAAGAATCTTTTGCCAGTGTGGGAGGTCAGCCGTCTTAGAACACGAGGAGAAAAAGTCTGACAGTTTGTTCCTCCAGGTTGAAAGATGATACTCTTTGGGATCGCAATTCTCTACTTGCAGAGGTTTCTTTTCTTGTTCTACGAGAAGATTGTCCTTACCAAAGTTTTGCAGATTCAACGAACTGGACCGTGGTAATCCCAAGCAGAATCCCCGGAGAGCCCCTCCGTCCCGATCCAAATGGCAGCACTTGGAAGCTCTGGCCTTTTTCACATCGATGTCCGGATGCCGAAGAAACCGCTCGGGATCGAACTTGAGAGCCGATGTTGACGAGCGCCCGAGTTCCTCACGTATCCCTCCAGCTCGCAAGCTTGGTGAGGAATGCTCATGGGCCCTGGGGGATGGAGGCGCAATGTTTCCTTGACGATGGCTTGGAGGAAAGTCAGCTTTAGAAGATCAGTCTCGTCCAGGCCCGGTTTTCTTTTTCAGCTCCTCCTGAGCTCGTGGATTTCTTACGAGCTCGTCTACAACCACTCCACCGTGATAGCGGTCCCAGCAGCGATCATATCCTACGAAGTTACGAGCATGTCAATCAAGGATTCCCAGATACGGGAAGAAGTCAGCCAGAGCGATACTTCCAGACACCGTGAGCGCCTCGAGCTCCTTCAAGAGCATGGACATCTCGTTCTTCCGGACTTGCTGGAACATCGCGACGCGCTTGGCAGTGAGGAGCTCCAGTTCCGGACGCACCTCCAGTGGTGGCCCAGATCATCCCACCTCCTCCATACCCGAAGTTCTCGCTGGCAATCGTCCTGGGCCTGGAAGAGAAGACGTGATCTAGCGTCTTGAGGAGCTCCATGGCGGCCACTGGCGGTGGAGATGACGAGCGTGTCGTGGATGCCGAACTTGAGGAGAATGAGGCCGCCATGTCTCTGGGAGAGCTTTTGCAAGGATTGGTGGGGACGAGGAGATGGAGATGGCTGAGGATGGAAGTCCCGGACGAGATGGTGGCGATTTGCTGCCTCGGCTACCACTGACAAGCTTAAGGAAGATGAGAGCAATGAAAGACGCAAAAACAATTCAAAGGAACTCCTTCCAGGCACGCTGGAGGTATGAACTTCGACTTTTATGTGCATTGCGATGTGTTGTGGTGGACTAAGCAAGTCATATACAAAGCCTATCCATTAGTCGCTGATGTCTACGTGATACAATTCTATAAAGACGGATTTGCCGCTGATATCCTTTGATAGTAAGAAATTCAAGGCTATGCATTCCAGTCAAGCTGCATTCCAGTCAAGCTTTAACGTTCAAATTGTATATAAAAATGGGGAAGCTGCGTGTGCTCAAGCTGGCGACTCTAAGAAAATCCTTTCCAAGCTCTGGAAGGAGTTCATCCGAACAGGGAAACTTTCCTCCAGACCTTTTGGCCGGATAGAGTTCCTGGAACCTGGAGGAACATTTCCAGACAGTGGGAGCTCGGTCTCAAAGGAATGAAAATTAGCTGCGCAGTGATCAAGATGTTCTATATCCAGCTTCCAACACTGGAGGAACTGAACTTAAGTTTGCCATACAAGCTTCCATTCTTTCAGGTATGGAGTTCGCTTTCTATGTCTTGTTTTTCTTCAACTTTTGCTGTAGAATTCCTGAGGTGCGAGGTCAGCCATCTTACGAAAAAAAAAACACAAGGAAAAGGAAAATGTCTGTCCGCTTGTTATTCCAGGTCGCCGAAGGATCGCGAATCACGATTCTCTACTTGCACAGGTTTCTTTTCTCGCGCTATGAAGATTGTCCTCACCAAATCTTTGCAGATTCAACTCAAATTAAATGAAGATCGTGAGAACTTGCAATAAAAGTGTGTTTTACCTTGACAATCAAATGTAAGCCTGTGGGTTCAAGCGTGTGGACGGCACCAGCCTGAGTGGAGAAGCTCTGGGAACACTAAGACCAAACTTCTCCGCCATGTCCAACTCTTTGCCATCCGGCGCTGCCCAGTCAAACGCATGGAGCAAGCTTCCGAGCACGAACTGGACGGTGGTAGTCCCCAGGAGGATCCCCGGGCAGCTCCTCCTTCCCGATCCAAACGGCAGCAATTCGAAGCTCTGGCCTCTTACATCGATGTCCGGCTGCCGAAGAAACCGCTCGGGATCAAACTTGAGAGGCTCGTCCCACCACCTCGGGTCCCTCGCTATGGCATAGACATTGACGAGCGCGTGAGTTCCTGCTGGAATCACGTAACCCTCCAGCTCGCAAGCTTGGATGGATTGGTGGGGAATGCTAAGGGGCCCTGGAGGGTGGAGGCGCAGTGTTTCCTTGACGATGGCTTGGAGGAAAGTCAGCTTTGGAAGATCAGTCTCGTCCAGGGCCCGGTTCTCTCCGACAACCTCTTTGAGCTCCTCCTGAACTTGAAGCACCATTGCTGGATTGTTTACGAGCTCGGCTAGAGCCCACTCCACCGTGACAGCAGCAGTGTCGGTCCCAGCAGCGATCATATCCTACGAAGTTACATCAATGACGGGAAGAACAAGGAACAGTTTACATACCAGGCAGAGAGCTTTGATGGAAGTATCGCTGAGATCTTTTCTGGCCAACATCATGTCCAGGAAATCTCTGTTGCTTCCCGGCTGCTGGCGGTGCTCGACGATCTGCTTGGCCAGATACTCGTCGAGCTGCTTGTGGATCGCGCAGATCTTCTTGGCTTGGCCGTCCATCCATCCCAGATATGGGAAGAAGTCGGCCAGAGTGTTACTTCCAGCCACCGTGAACGCCTCCGTGATCAAGTCTTTGAACCTTACCGCGAGTTCCCTCTCAGCGGAGCTCCCAGAGGAGTAGCTCCGGTTCATCACCATCCTCGTCATGAAGTTGAAAGTGAGATCCAGGAGCTTGGACGTGAGCTCCACAGAACTCATCTGGGAACTTTGGAGCTCCTTCAAGAGCATGGACATCTCCGTCTTCCGGACTTGCTGGAACATCACAACGCGCTTGGCAGTGAGGAGCTCCAGAGTGCACAGCTTCCGGACGCTCCTCCAGTGATCGCCATAGGCAGCCCAGATCATCCCAGCTCCCCCATACCCGAAGTTCTCGCCGGTAATCGTCCTGGGCCTGGAAGAGAAGACGTGATCTTGCGTTTTGAGGAGCTCCCTGGCGGTCTCGGCAGTGGAGACGACGAGCGTGTTGTGGATGCCGAGCTTGAGGAGCATGAGGCCGCCATATCTCTGGGCGAGCTTCTGCAAGGACTGGTGGGGGAGCTTACCGAGGAGATGGAGATGGCCAAGGATTGGAAGTCCTGGAGGAGATGGAGGCGATTTGCTACCGCTGCCTCGGTTATCACTGACAAGCTTAAGGAAGATGAGAGCAATGAAGAACGCAAAACCAATCCAAAGGAACTCCATTGATTTTTTTCAGGCACTCGCTGGAAGTAAAACGCCACTGCAATGTGACGACAATCGTTGGCGGAGTATGCAAAGAGAGAAAGCCTATCCAATCTGCATGTTACAGTTTAATCGCTGGAGACTGAGAGGCATGGCATGAAAAATATCTAGAAATTTCAAAGTATAGATCTTCCAGTCCACTTATGAAACTAAATTCTTATCCTTAGTAAAACTTAACATATGATGTTTCTCAAACACATTAGTTAGCTGCATCATATTTCACTCTATGTTATAATACTAATAATATGAATATTAACAATATAGACTAAATAATCAAATGGAAAAGACAGTGGTCGAGAAAAGGAAGATATTAGCACTATTGCCAGTGACCTCCTTACAAAGTGAAGAGTAAAAAAACGTTTTACAATTGAAGCTTTCTAGTATTAATATATACATGGATCCTAGTTCGGGATCTTTCTTTTACGTGTCCATAAGTCATGAATGACAGTTGCCGTTGCAGCATGTGCAGCAAGGTCAGACATGCTTTTCCATGCAATTATAAATGGGTTTCTCTTTACGCCTACGTTTGTGTTGGAAGTCTTTCTTCTCAGGCTGGGAGCAAAGCTAAATATGCTTCCGTGCCCACCCTCACCATATAAATAAGGGGTTCAAGATCTATCAGTAACTTATAGAGCATGCTGTGCTGTGCTGCTGCGCTGCTAGACTGTGCTACCATGAAGCATACAACCCCTCCTCTCTTTTCCTCATTTTTCTCTCTCTCCTCTCCTTGTTCTGCTCTTCAGTGTCCAATTCTTGGTAGTTAAGAGTTTCCCATTCTTTTTCTTGCACCACTGCACAATTTAGACACATCTAGTTCCCAGAAAGCGTTTCTAGTTTTGCGGATCATGCCCTAAAATGCTGCAATCCAATTATCAATTTACTTCCTCTTGGTTCTTTTCTTTGATCATATTGCCATCTTTGATTGATAGTGATGATTGAGCTTAGAACCTTGCCATGAATTCTTTTGTATAAAGCTTGAAATTTATTCAATTGTAAAACTTCATCTTTGTTGCTTAGGTTTAGCTGATTTAATTTAATTTTTTTTTTCCTCTTTTTGTTCTCCTTTTTTAATTTCCAAAATCTTTTTTGCAAATTTCAAACTTAATCTTTCTTTCTTTTTGACTCAACCTCAAGCCTCTTTTGTAGAATCTTCATGAGGAGTTTCCTCCCTTTAAGTTGCTGGTTTTAAAGTTTCTATTATGGTTTCATTTTATTGTTTCACCATCTGCATATATGTTTTTAGCTATCACTTGATAAAAGAGCTTTTAATGAATATTTTATTTTCATTTATCCCTTATGGTTCCAAACAAAATCCTTTATAAGAAACAATTTTTTGTATTTAGCTTCTATAGGCAAAATGGTGTTAAATGGAGTTTCACACAATTTCAATATATTGATAGTTTAACACAAAGATGTGGGTACCTTATCAACTAACATGGTATAAAACTTGAGTTTAAACTTAAATTGAATGCAAATTAAAAAATGATATAGCCTAGCGAAAGCTAAACTAATGTTCCAAGTGGTCAATTATGCTTTTGACCACTATCCCTACTATACATTTAAAGTAAAATGATAATATCATGGCTAAAAGGGTATAGGATAGGTCATTTGGACATAAAAGGAAAGTTTAAGCCCTTTATTTAAGAACAAATGAGGATCAATGAACGTGATCAAATAAACTCCACCTAAGCTTCATAGTTAATTTTCTTTTTAAAAGTATGAGTTACTCTTAAGCATTTCTTTAAAAAGCCTTTTTAACACCCTTCCATGACTCAACCCTAACCCAAACATGGTTTAAAAGCACCATTTTGAAAGTTTTTTCCTTAGTGTACTATCCTTATTACTGTTGGAATGCTATATCCTATCAACCTTCTTTCAGTTGGAACGTCCCATCCCATCAACCTTTTTTGAGACCAGAAGTGGATCAACTTCTTGATGGATTATGATTGAATTTAAATCACTTTTTTTTAAAAAAAATGGCATAGCTGCATATGCCTCATGAATCACATTTTGATTGTTATTATAACAATCAAAACATTACTGTGCAATAAACAAAACACAAAAAAAATTCTTGCATATGAGTTAAAAAAAATATAAAAATGCGCAACCATAAATTAATTGCTATATAAATCCAGTAAAGAGGTCTTCCACTCCCCATATTAATGATCTGATCTGGAATTCCAAACCATGTTACAGATCTGAAATATTCAATCCCTCATCCAATAAGGGGAACGGAACTAATATTTTATCAAGGATTCTAAAAAAAGGGAAAATAATAGTTCAGACTCTCTTTCCATTTACAAGATAAGTATACAAGAAAAGCAATTAAGAATGAAACTTGGGTCACAAAATCTTGGACCTCTTAAATTCTGAGATATCCTGATTCACTTTCACTCGCTCAATCGGTTGGAGGCTATAATATAGCTGCCCGGTTCTTCTCTCCCACTGAAATAAAAGGGAAAACAAAAGCGTTGCTTTTGATGAATACTCTGGAGAGAACTTAGGCTAACTTTAAGTACCTCTCTTATGTCTCGAGTTGAATGGAGCCTTGGTTCATACTTGGGCTTGAGAAGGAACTTGCTGTTGTGCTGAAATTATAATAGAAAAGGCTGTGAGGCGCAAGAAACTAAAAGAAGGTAAATTCTCTACCTTTGCAATTAGAGCGGCTAGCTCGTCACCTGCAACTCCATAAGCTCTTGCCTTCGCTGGTGGTCCTTTAGTGTCGGGAGATACTCTAGCCATTTTAGTGCTTTTCCTCTCGGTCGAAGCTCGCAAAGACTTTGGAGTCTGCATTGTGATCGAGCAGTTTGCAAGCTAAAAAGAGAAGGCATACCTTTAGGCGTGGAGATTTGCATGAAAGCCTCCGCCTTTGCACCATCACTCCATCGCTGCGTCCGATGCTAAAAGTTCCATTGGAGTTCTTGCCAAACTCAAATGTTGCCAGGCTCTTCCTCACGTTCATAAGCTTCGGCTTTTTCAGCTGGCCAAGTGCTGATTTTCCCCGTGTCGGTGTGCTAGAGTTCTCTTTGTTCCTGAGCGGGCTTCCAGTCGCATTCCTGCTTGGCTTGGTGCTACCTTCGTGATTGCTTGTCCCGGAAAGAGTCACACAAGCAATACTTGCTCTGACTCGCTGCGTTCGGACGTGTATATCGCAAGGAGCATCTGTGTCATCGCCTCTCTTCATTTGCTTCGAGCTCGAAAGAGAATCGTCCAGTGGGTTGCTGTCCGAAGCAGTTTGGACCTCTTCGTTGGTTCGTAGCCTGGCCATCAAAGTTGCCAGCAACTTTGCCGAGAAACTCTCGCTCGGACTAGAACCAATACTGTTCTCACTCCTTTCCTGCTTACCATCCTTGCCATCTTCTTTTCTGAAACGTAAAAACCATCACAAGAGAGCCACTACGAAGTCAGAGATCAAACCTTATCTCGCAAGCCGGCCGCAGTTGAATTCGCTTTGGTTTGCTAGGCAATAGTCGACCATTCTCATGGTTCTTGAGCTCACTCCTTTCCTGAGAAGACTCCAGAGATAGACTTTGCTCCGAGGAGCTTGTCACCTCTTTAGACGTGAAGTTAAGCTCTTCGTTGGCCACCTCCTGCTTAAAGTCCGAGCAAGGAGCAAACACAAGTTCTTCCAGAGGTGTCTCATGATGCCTGGATGAGATGCAAAACAGCAAAGAATTTTCGCAGTGAGAAAACAAAGAAGTAAACAAACTTACGGATGATGTTGGTAAAACCATGGATCATCCCTGCAACGCTATCAAAACGTAAGCTTCCAATCACACTAGAGAACCAATCAAACTAGAGAAGAATTCTCACCCCTCCGTGCCTTCTAGCGACGCTTCCACGGACAAATCTACCCATTGCGGAGCCTCAATGTGCTCCTGCAAGCGCAATTCAGAGCATCAGTCCCATACATTCTCGTTCTGCAAGAACAAGAAGGCCATGGAAATTTCTCGCGCTTGAGGCCAATCGAGGAGAAACAGCGTACCAGATAGTCCCAGTACTCAATCGCAAGAGGATTTTGCGCCGCAGCGATTGACAATTGGAACGCTTTCACTGCCAGTGACGACGAGCCCGTGGAGAGCCCGCATTCGCGCATTTGCACGCCCTTGAGCGCCATCCCAGCTCCCAACCAAAAGCCCTAAACATCAAAGCTTTAGCCTTTAGCTAACATACTAAAATTTCTTTTAGGGCTAGGGCTAGAGTTGTTTGATAGCGATATGGCGATGGCAGGCAATCCCTAGGCCCTGGCAGTGATCTAGAATCGCGAGCATTGGAGCTGGCTTCCATCGAATCCAGCTAGGGATCGCGGATATGGGATCGATGAGGCCTTCGATTCGATCCAAGGCGTCGGGACCGGTCGGGCAGCACTTGGCAAATGGAGGTATCGCGCGAGAGGAGCTCTCAGTGTTTGAATCCGAGTCTTTCGACGCGGATTCTTACGTCCAAGGCAAGTGCCAGTCCATGAGCGAGAAGGTAAGAGGAGAAAACTAGAGAATGAGCTTCCCATGTTCTTACACAAGTGATTTGGCAATTCTCCAGGGAATCCGGAAGCTATGCTCAGAGCTTACCGAGCTGAAAAGGGACTCGGCAGAGGAGATGAGGAAGAGCGTCTACGCAAACTACTCGGCATTCATCCAGTAAGTTCTAGTTCTAGTCCGGGGATCGAGAGGAAAGAAAAGAGTGAAGAACAGGAAACCAGGAATGAAAAACTAAATTTTGCACTGGCAGGACGTCACGAGAGATCTCAGATCTGGAGTGTGAGTTAGTCTCGATGCGGAATCTCCTCACCACTCAAGCAGCGCTCGTCCACAAGCTCGCAGAGGTACAATTACCTCCGATGATAAGTGAGAATGGTGGATCCTTACCTCATGAAAACGGGCATGTAGATGACGACTCAACCTCGGCGTCGGAAACCGAGGCCAGGGCTCTGCTCGACGTTACTGACATCTACATTGCCGAGAGGAAGATAGAAAAGGCCCTGGACGCCTTGCAACGTTGTGAAGCGCTGCTCCGGCCGCTCAAGAGCAGCAACAGCCTGGAGCAGCTTTTTATGGACCAGCGGCTCCGGCTTACAGAACTTTTGACGCAGTTCGCAAAGCAGCCTTCGATCCGGAGCGCAGAGCTCCGCTCGGTTATCTCCGCCCTAGACAGACTCGGGGATGGCCCGCATGCACACACTCTTCTGCTGTATTCCCACCACGATCGACTGCAGCGAGCTATCGCCAACCTCCGTCCCAGCGGCACTTCTTACGGTGGTGCCTACACAGCTGGGCTCTGTCAGCTAGTCTTCTCACACATCGCGCAGGCCGCGAGGAGTTCTACCGCGGTTTTTGGAGAGCAGCCATCGTATGCATCCGAGCTGGTTCTCTGGGCACGCGGCGAGACTGAAAACTTCGTGGCGCTGATAAAGAAGCATGTACTTTCGGCCTCGGCAGCATCAGGTGGCCTGCGAGCTGCGGCGGAGTGCGTACAGATTGCTCTTGGCCACTGCACGCTGCTGGAAGGTTACGGCCTTGCGCTGAGTCCCGTGCTTACAATGATGGTGAAGCCGAGTGTGGAGCAGGCGCTGGACGCCAACTTGCGAAGAATAGAGGACAGCGTCAGTGTTTTAGCTGCCGCGGACGACTGGACTTTGGTGCAGCCGCCACCCCGTACTGGCTTGCGTGCGGCCTCGTCGATCCTGTTTCCTCCTCATTTGAAGCTGTCTACGAGTGCTTATCGTTTCATTTCTATGGTCCAGGTATGTGAAGCGATTGATGCCTCAGTTCTTATCCTTGTTTTCGTACTTATCCTTGTTTTCATGCTTGCGCTGGCAGGACTTTGTCGACGACGTTACGCCTTTGACGAGCATGCATCTCACGAGCACGACACTTGATGGTGTGGCTCGCCTCTTCGACTCGTTTGTTCATCTCCTCATGAGGGCGATGCCAGCTGCCATCGACGATGAGGACGTTCCCGAGATCACAGACAACCTCAGCATCAAGGTGGCCGACACCGACGCTGAGAAGCTTTCCCTGTTGGCCAACGCGGCAGCTATGGCCGACGAGCTGCTACCCCGGACGATCGTAAAGATCCTGCCTTTGAAAGACAGAGAAGAGAGCCGCATGAGGCGGTCGCTGGACAAGCCAGCGACGGGTGTGCGGTCCGAGCACAGGGAGTTCCGGCGGAGAACGCAGCGTGCCGTGGACAAGCTGCGCGATCGCTTCTGCCAGAAGTACGCGCTGGAGCTCATCTACACCGACGAGGGGGAGTCCCTGCTAAGTGCCGACCTCTATCTGGGACTGGACAACGACGGTGACACTGCCAACTCCGCCTGGCTTGACGATCCAATGCCTTCTCCGGTCTTCCAGGTACTGTTTGTTTCCATCTTCACTTATTGCGAAGCTTCTAACTTATTCCGAACTTTCGCAGACACTATTCGAGAGGATCAAGACAATAGCAGCCGCCGGTGGCGACGTGATGTCTGGGAGGGAAAGATTCGTGACAGTTCTCTTGATACGGCTCGTTGAAACCGTGGTGCTCTATCTTTCCTCTGATCAAGACTTTTGGGAGGACATCGAAGATGGTCCCAGACCGCTGGGGCCAGTCGGCCTTCAACAGGTTCGTTCTTTTCTTCTTTTCTTCTTTTCTCTCTTATCTTCCGTGTCTCATTCTTGTTTGTTGCGTTGCGTGAAAGCAGATGGTGCTGGACATGAAGTTTGCGGTTCAAATGGCTGGCCAAGTGAATCACTCCTCTTTGAGACATCTAAGGCAGCTCGTGGAAGACTTGATCGCACGAGCTATTGACGCTTACGCTGCGACCGGGATGGATCCTTACAGGTTCTTCGCGATTTCCTTTCGACTTTACAGACATGTTTGTCTCACTTTTCTTTTTCTCTTTCTCTTCTTTTCAGTGTACTGCCTGAAGAGACTTGGTTTATGGGAATGGCTCAGGAGGCGATTGACAGATTGTCTGGTGGCTGGTCGAAAGACTCAGCCAGCCCAACCGCATCGGTGTCTGCGAATTCCATCTCTTCATTGAAATCTCATGGAAGTCCTTGAGGAAACAGGTATTCGACATTTTATCTGAAGATGGTATCACATTTCTTGTGGCATATGTATTATATCAGATTTCAAGTCTAATAAATTATGTATGGTTACTCAATCTTGGGGAGAATTCTACTCTGTTTCATTCTGCCTATTACACGTACTACCATACTTTGCATGCTATCTTCCACGTTTAAACCTCTCTGAGCTCTTGGCCGCCACCTCCCTCGTCCGGCTGCCACCCGAAATACTTACAAACCTCCTCCAGCGACTTGCCTTTGGTCTCGGGCACCACGAAGAATATAAACACGATGGACGCGAACGCGATGGAGGCGTAGACGAAGAAGGCCCCGGACGTGGTGAGCGCTTCGGCCAGGCTCAAGTAAGTGAGCGCCACGGTCCCGCTGATCCCCCTGTTCATCCCGATGGACAGGCTCATCGCCCGGGCCCTGAGAGTGAGCGGGAAGATCTCCGACGTGAGGACGTACACCGTCGGCCCGAATCCAATGGAGAAGCTCGCCATGAAGCCGCAGATGGCGAGCATGGCGATGACCACCAACGCCACTGACGCGTGCTGTGTGCCGCTCATGTTCACCTTGGCACCGACGTGAAGGAAGCGGAACGTCACCGCTACCGTGGTGAGCGATATGGTCATCCCGGTGGCACTGGCCAGGAGCAGCGGCCTGCGTCCCACGGTGTCGAGATAGATGGTGGCCACCAGGATGAAGAGAGTTTTCGTCAGGCCGACGGCGATGGTCATGCCCAGCACGCTCGTCCTGCTCTTCATCCCCGCCTGTGCGAAAACCGTCGGGCTGTAGTACACGAGAGCGTCCACGCCGGATGCCTGCTGGAAGAAGTGAATTCCCAGTGACAACAGTAGCATCCTGCGCACCGGAGCCGATGGTAGCAGTAGCTGCTTCCAGACGTTGCTACCTCTTTTTCTTTTTGGCTTAAGCATCGGCTTCCTCTGCTCGGTGGTCGACGAAGCCACCGACGGGATCTTGCGCAGCTCCGCCTGCTGATCGGCTTCAGGGTCCATCTTTGAGGTGTGCTCGTCCCGGACCTCTTGTTTCTCTGCCTCGTACTCGTCCCCCAGTGACTCTACTATCGCCGTGAGCCTCGACTCGGCCTCGGCCTTGTTCCCGCCGCAAGTTCTGATGAGAACGGTCTTGGCTTGAGAGACTCTCCCTTGCATCACCAGCCAGCGAGGAGACTCGGGCATCACCAGCACGGCGCAAGCCAGGAACACCGCAGGGACGGCGCCGAGTCCCAGCATCAGCCTCCATCCCAGCCACTGGGGAAGCGGAGAGAGTGCAAAGTTCGCTACGTAGCCAACCAGGATCCCAGTGTTGATAAAAACTTCGGCAAACGACACCAAGGATCCCCTGCTTCCGGGAGGAGAGAGTTCTGCCGTGTACACTGGAGCGATGATCATAGCAAAGCCGACCCCAATTCCCGATAGAACTCGTCCACCCATGAGCACTGGGTACGATGGAGATAATGCCATGAGCAAGGCACCAACGAAGAAGATCACAGAGGCTGTAGCCATTGTCTTCCTTCTTCCAACCGCATCGGCCAGCTTCCCAGCCATGAGCCCACCCACGAGAGACACCAGGTTGAGAATACCAACCAGTATTTCCTGCTGTACGCTGTTGAGCTTGAAGTCATCTTTAATGTACAGCAAGGCACCACTCATAACACCAATATCTGCACAAAAAGTAATGAGATCCAACACACATCCAAAGGAAGAAGAAGAACGTACCATATCCAAGCAGTATAGAGTTGAGAGAAGCCAGCAATGTGCAAAACACAACATACTTGTTGTAGTTCTTCTTTCTTCCGCCAGGAACTGTCTCGACTTCTGCTGCTGGTGCTGCTGGTGCTACTGGTGCTGAAGAATTACCTCCTGAAAGTCTTCCTTCCAGATTTCTAGCTGAATCGAACAGACCCTTCCTTCCATGTTCTGAGGACTCGGATGGCTCACGAGCAAGACGGGAGCGCTCTTCCATCCTTCCCCTTCCTCCGCAGCAACTGGCGCCGTTTAAATTGGAGTTGGGTGAGACCACAGAGCCTACTGAGTCCTTCACCGTCCAGACATCACTGTCAGACTCTTGTTTTTCTAAGCAGATCCTTTTGGGCCGTGCCACGCATCAATAAACGAGCGAAGACTCGTATAGTCGAACAAAGATATCCTGCATTCAAGACACAGCCATTAGCCCCGGTTCCGATGCTACAATCAAACGGAGTCTTTTAATTGTTTTCATCCTTTCTTTTTCCTGCCTTTTCTCACACAAACGCTTGACCCGGAAGTCCTCGACACTCAACGGAAGACTGTCAGCTACAAAGTCAAGACTAGCGCACTATCATGATGCCACACGTCACAGGAAACAAGATTTCAAAGAAACTAAAGAAAAATGACAACCAAGCAAACATTCGGAAACCGCAGACCGCAGAAACGACGTACTAAGCTCCGTCGCTAAAAGACGTACGTTTCTTTAAGGTAACTCTCAGCCATACCATGCCATGTGTTCGTTGGACAAATTCGTCACAAATCAGACCGCGCCGAGTTCTGACAAGTAGACCCCGCTAACTTCAGATGTTGACTCGGCCCAGCCTTTCTTGTATGTATTATATTCCTACAAGCCCGTGATTCCACCTACAAAAAAGAAACAGTATTATACAACCAACGTCAGAACAGCGCCAACGTACCGCTCACAAAATGACGCATTTTTGGCCTCTCCATAAACTCCTCCCAGCGTTCCAAATAGTTTTCATTCGTTGCCTCAAAGAGGAAGGTGGATTAACAATTTCCTCAGGCTGCTGCTCTTCGGATCGCGCACTGTTCTCGGCTACCTCTCTTGGCTCGAGCGTCTCTTTAGATAGTTCACCTGGCTTCTTGTCAAAGAGCCCTTGAAACTGCTTCCGAACTCTAGCATTTGCTTCCTGTGTCACAGAAATATTATGAACAGAATTATGAAGGTCCGTTGCTAATTACCAACCTGCTCTTTCCTTTTCAGTGTAGATAGAGCAGCTTTTGCGTCCGCTTCCGACGACTTGTCTGTACTGGCCATCTGCAAAATATTTGTAAGAACACATGCCGCTAACTATTAAATACTTTTACCTTTTCGAAATCCTTCCGAGCGTCGTCAAAATCCCCCATTCCCATAAAAGCATTCCCTCGGCGGTACAGTGCTTTCGAGTGACAAGGATTTACTTCTAGAACCTGCATATTCATATCCAAAGTTAGAGAAAGAATAAAATTAATTGTGCATACCTGGTTGCATAATTCAATACACTTCCTGAAGTTTCCTTGTTTCTGTTCACAAGCTGCGACGTTCAGTTGTATTAGAGTCTGTAAACAAAATGCGCAAGTTAATAGCAGAGCGAACTTTTAAAAGTGAGAAAAGCTTACACGAGCTTGTGCAAACTCTACACCCTCATTGTCATCTTGAGGATTCACGTGTTTAAACTCTCGTAAGATCTGTGTAAGATAATCAGAACAGCTTTGGGATATTCAGAATAAAAGATAAGAAGATTACCTTTTCGTATTTAGCTTTCGCCAATTCAAACTTCCCTTCTTTGAATAACCGATTGCCCTGCAAACTGAAAATTAGATGATAAAATACTACTCGAATTATACAATACGGTAGTTCTCATTTTAGTGGCATCATCCATTATCTCCTTGAAATTGTACCCAGTCCAATCCTGCCGGTCCAAAATCATACCGAGAACAAAAGCACATAGAATAAAAGTTTACCTTCACAGCGTCAAAGCTTAAAAGCTCCACCTCCCATTGTACTTGGGCATTCTCTGGAACAAGTTTTGGCCTGCCAAAAGATGGTGAAATACCATAGCAAACGGGTTTTCTCACCTTGGAAACTTGTCATAAGCGTATTCAGGAGAACAAGTTATAAGAGCAAGCTCCCCGGGTAGCATAAGTTTAATGCAAATTTCCAAACCTTCCGGAACCTGTCATAAACAACATTTTCAATTCCAATGCGCGATAAATCGAAGCATACCAGTCCTTCTCCTGTAGCAAAAACCAATGGCTCTCCGCCTTCGTTGTCATTTCGGGTATCAACAAACACCTTGCCACCTTCGTTTGGTAGCATTCCCTTGTAATGTATGCGCAATGTACTGTCTTGAAGTGGGCAGTCCATGGGAAATTCTCCTACTCCATCACGGATGCGCCGCTTCACTACGCGGCCATCGCCAAACATGTCTCGCACCTTACAAAAACGCGATATAACCATCAGGAAATAGAAAACAGCATCATACCTGTATTATTTGAACTACTTCTACTTCAAATGCCACTTCACCGGAAGTAACAGGTAGATCAGGAATAGCGGACGATGGAGTAAGATACTGTGTGGTAACATATACAATAGCCTTCTCCCCTTTTGTCATTGTTCCTATGCCTTTCTCAAGGCCAACTGGAACCTGGCAAACATTGTACTCGAGTTTGACGCGCAAAGATAGAGATATTATACCTCTTTCTTGCCAAAGCAAAATTCGAATGGATTGCCCTTTGTGTGAGAGAAAAACACTTCTCCATTTACACTTCCGGTTATCCTATAGTAAGGCGTCTTTGTTAGCACACCAAAAGATGAAGGGACAGTACACACCAAACTTTTATCTCGTATGGCTCCCGTGCAGTCTCGAATCCCTCGCCCTCACGGAGAACCTACAAGTTGAGTTAACTTCGGATCTTGCAAACCAAGTATATACGAACCTGCTTGAGTACCCCAAAGTCATCTGTGATGACCTGAAAACAACGACCAAAAGCTCGAGTCAAGAAAGAAAAGAGCAAAGCCTTTTAGTACTGACCTTCACAGGTCGGATCTCAAGCATTTCGATCTCAAAAATTAGAATCTCGTGTTTCGGAAAGTCTTCTCGCGCACTAACCGGACAGTCGGGATCTCCATAGTGAAACTCAGGTAAGATTTTAAGCTGGGAAACCATCATCGAGTATGAATGAGAAACAAAGAGATGCTATTGAAATTCCCCACCATTGCAATTTCACCTTTGGGGACAGTTAGTAGTCCTTCTTCCCAGCCTCGAATCATCTTGCTCTTTCCAAGCACCAGCTTAATTGGCTCACCGCTTCCTAAAACACGATAGAAATAAAGTAAAAAAAATCTGGCAACTGAATGAAACGAACCGCCAAGCTCCGGCCGAGTGGATTCCACAATCACGCCCTCGCTCGTCCGAGTAGTACAGTGAAAGATCACCTACATTCTCCGTGACGCCTCCAAAATGCAGAAAAATACGAGAAATCCACACCTGGTTTCCTGATTGCGGATTATCTCCAGCTCCAGGCCTCACGACAGCTTTCATGAGACCCCCGGGCGGAATCGGAATGGATTTCCTGGCAGAAACACATCAAATTCTCAGCCATCCCAAGCGCCGCAGCACTCACTTGGAATCCTTGGAATCGCGATCGACAGGAGCATGCTTGGCGGGGCCGGGGACAGCATCGTCTTCCATCTCGCCACATAAACCCTAATGCCAAACCCTCTATAAATAAAAAGGTCTTTAAACAAGCCAGAAAAAGTTCTCAAAAAAATTTGGACCATTTCTCGATTTGTGCGTGTCATCCTTGCGCAGGGGCCATGCTAATCTTCTCTGTATCGTTCCAATTTTATCTGGTGTCTCCGAAGAGACATTAACTACTCTTAGGCGAGGTCTTTTATAGTAAAAATTTTCCATCGGCCTTGGGCATGTGGGATAGGGCTCCCCTAAAGCCCTAGCCATAGCCTAACCTAAACTACTGTTAAGCGATTTAAACGTGGATTTCTAGTTCGATTCCCACTATCAACAATACCATTCCATTAAACTCTCTAATGCCCTATTTCGTTCCTCGTGAGCTCTTCCCATGGCGGCGGTCCCGTTCCCGGCTGGATCGGCGGTGAATCTCGCCCCTGAGGCGTCTCCAGCGGCGTCGATCTCACTCGTGGTGCCGTCATGCAATCTTCGATCCCCTCGGCATTTTCTTGGCAGAGCATCGCTGCTCCACAGCTACCGCGAGCGCCGCCCAGCGGCATTCCGATCCAATGCCGCCAGGGCCGAGGTCTCTGTGCGATCGCAGCAGCCGCTGGACGTCACGCCCAGGCCGACCGTGCTCGTCACTGAGAAGCTGGGAGAGGCCGGCCTGGATCTCCTCCGCAAGGTAGCCAACGTCGACTGCTCCTACAATCTCTCCCCCGAGGAGCTCCGGGCCAAGATTTCCCTGTGTGACGCGGTGATCGTGAGGAGCGCTACCAAGGTCACAAAGGAGGTGTTTGAGGCGGCCAATGGAAGGCTAAAGGTCGTAGGGAGGGCTGGCGTTGGGATCGACAACGTCAACTTGCAAGCCGCCACCGAGAAGGGCTGCCTGGTAGTGAATGCTCCCACGGCAAACACTGTGGCAGCGGCCGAGCACGCCATCGCTCTCCTTGCTGCATTGGCCAGGAACGTCGCGCAAGCAAACGCTTCTGTCAAATCAGGTAAGATCTTTGTGTAGCATTTCTTTTCTTTTCTTTGCGTTGTTTGATTGTGTTTGTGTTTTGCTGGATGCTCCATCAACCTTGTTCTTGCGCACGAGTGCTTTAGAATCGTTGCTTTGCTTGATAATGTCTTGCTGACTTTGTTCCATTGTTTGGAATCATTAGCTTTGTTTGATCTTGTCTTTCTGACTTTGCGCCATGGTTTAAAATCACTAACTTTGCTTGATCTTGTCTTGGTGACTTTGCTCCATCGTTTGAAATCATTAGCTTTGTTTGGTCTTGTCTTGCTGACCTTGCTCCATTGTTTACTAAGTTCTACTCTCTTGGTCTAAGCAGAACTAACACGAGAGTCGTTTCTTTATTTTTTCTGTTTCTCCAGGGAGTTGGCAGAGAAGCAAGTACACGGGCGTTTCTCTAGTAGACAAAACCATCGCCGTCATGGGATTTGGGAAAGTGGGATCGGAAGTTGCTCGAAGAGCCAAAGGCCTGGGCATGCACGTGATTGCGCACGATCCGTATGCTCCCGCCGACAGGGCCCGCGCGATTGGAGTGGAGCTCGTTGGCTTCGACGAGGCACTGGCTCGAGCCGACTTTATCTCGCTCCACATGCCGCTCACGGATGATACCCGGGGCATTTTCAACGACGAAACTTTTGCGAAGGTGAAGAAGGGAGTTCGCATCATCAACGTCGCGAGGGGCGGTGTCATTGACGAAGCTGCGTTGATCAAGGCACTTGACAATGGCACTGTGGCTCAGGTAGATCTTACTTATTTGTTCAAGAGAGAGAGAGAGAGATTTGACAATCGTTGGTGTTTTTTTGTTAGGCTGCTCTCGATGTGTTCGAGCAAGAACCGCCTGCAAAGGACAACAAGGTGGTCCAGCACGAGAATGTGATAGTTACTCCCCATCTAGGTGCGAGCACGGTAGAAGCGCAGGTTAGCAGCATCCCAACTTCCATGGCTCACCTTATCATCAACTAATCAAAATGGAGTTTGTAGGAAGGCGTGGCCGTAGAGATTGCTGAGGCTGTCGTTGGCGCGTTGCGTGGAGAGCTTTCCGCTACTGCGGTGAACGCTCCAATGGTTTCCTCCAAGGTATGCTAATCTCTTTACTGCTTTGCTCGACACTCAATGCTTGCAACTCCAGGTTTTAACCGAGCTTGCGCCGTATGTCTCACTGGCCGAGAAGCTGGGAAAGCTAGCCGTGCAGCTGGTAGCCGGCGGCGGCGGAGTCAAGGACGTAACCATCAGCTACACGTCCGCCCGGTCCCCGGACGATCTAGACACCCGGCTCCTCCGCGCGATGATCGTCAAGGGCCTGGTGGAGCCAGTGTCGAACGCCTTCATCAACCTCGTGAACGCGGACTACGTCGCAAAGCAGCGTGGCATCCGGATCAGCGAGGAGAGGCACCCGGCCGAGGGGGGGAGCACGCAGGCCCAGCCGCTGGAGAGCATCGCGGTGAAGATCTCCAACGTGGAGTCCAAGTTCTCGAGTGCAGTCTCCGACGGTGGAAGGGTGGCGGTGGCGGTGGCGGGCAGGATCAAGGACGGGCTTGCACACCTCTCGCAGGTGGGGCAGTTTAGCATGGACGTGAGCCTGGAGGGATCGGTCATCCTGTGCAAACAGGTGGATCAGCCGGGGATCATCGGGAAAGTTGGCGGGCTGCTGGGCGACGGGAACGTGAACGTGAGCTTCATGAGCGTGGGGAGGACTTCACCCAGGAAGCAGGCGGTGATGGCGATTGGCGTGGATGAGGAGCCGAGCAAGGAAGTGCTGCACAGGATCGGGGCCATCCCGGCGGTGGAGGAGTTCGTGTTTCTCAAGCTCTAGGAAGCTTTTTCTGTCACAGGAACCTCTGGAAGATCATCGCTCAAGCGAAGGGAATGAAAGTTCTATTCATTGTCCAGCATTGACAAGGTTTGAAAGTACTAAATTCCTGGTTACTGATCATTTTTGTGTGAGTGAGAGCCAAGGTCCAGTTTAGGGTCATTCCATGGCGATGACGAACGAGAAGGTGTGTGTCACCGGCGCTTCTGGTTTCCTGGCATCTTGGCTCGTGAAGCGGCTATTGGAGGAGGGATATCACGTCGTCGGGACTGTGCGCGATCCAGGTACATACAAACGAGAAGAAACATAGTCTAATTCTCTTGTTTGTGATACTAGACGATGCGAGCAAGACTTCCCACCTGTGGGAGCTTCCAGGGGCGAGAGAGAGGCTGGAGCTCAAGAAGGCCGACCTTGTCACGCAAGGGGCCTTTGATGATATTGTTCAAGGCTGCCATGGAGTTTTCCATGTCGCGGCTGCCGTGACTTTCACCTACAAGGAGGATCCACAGGTAACTTTGCTTTGACTCCTTCGATTCGGTCTAGTCTTTACTGGTTGTTTTTGCTTTCGGTTCTTCTTCCAGGCCGAGATTGTTGATCCATGCTTGCTTGGAACTCTAAACGTGCTCAATGCCTGCAAGAGATCCACGACAGTCAAGCGAGTGGTGTGCACGTCATCCGTGGCTGCTGTTCGCGTGAGGAACGACTTCAAGCCCGATGACGTCTTGGATGAATCGGTGTGGAGCTCCCCAGACTGCTGCCGTGAGACTCAGGCAAGTGTCTTATTTCCAAGGGACCAATTCTTAAAAAGTTTTTGAAGTCTAGATGTGGTATGGTCTGGGAAAGACTCTATCCGAGCAAGCAGCACTCGAGTTTGGGAAAGAAAGCGGCATAGATGTGATCACAATCGCTCCCAGCTTAATCGCTGGAGAACTTCTCTCGTCCAGGCCCACCGCAAGCGCTGCCGATATTCTCCGGCTGCTCCAAGGAAAGCCTTTCTATATCGGAAGAAAAAAAAGAGGACGTTTTTGAGATTCCAAACACATTGCAGGAGCCAAGCAGTGGATGGATCACACTGGACACGTCCATCTCGACGACGTTGCTCAAGCTCACCTCCTCGCCTACACAAATCCCAAAGCCAGTGGAAGATACGTTTGCTCTGCTATCAACATGAGTGCGATCGAGCTCGCCAGCTTCATGTCCAAGAGGTATCCCAAGCACAAAATCGCCTCTACCGACGAGTAAGATCACGCAAACAAAAATTTAGTTTTCTGCCGCTGTTTTATACCCATTCCTTTGCTTTCTTGCAGGATCGAGGTCCGGTGGCCGGCAAATTTCAAGGGATTCAGCTCCAGAAAGCTTCAGGACGACCTTGGGATCCAATTCAAGTCGCTGGAGCAAATGTTCGACGATTGCGTTGAGAGCCTGGAACGCAAGGGCCTCTTAGACGCAAGTAAGAGTAGATCGCTTGGCTCATTTCCTTCTTGATCCAGGTAACGCAAGTGTGGCATGTATGGCTAGCAAAATAAGCACTATAGTCATGATTGAAGCACTATAGGTCCATCTTTACTGATTCTCCAGCTTTGCCAGCTCCAGGAGGAGCAAAGAGCGCTATTAAAAAAATTTAATTACAAAACCATATCAATCAATGAGCATGAAAACACACCCAATCGGCTGATTTGATGAACTTGCTCCTGATGTGAACTATGAAACTGTGAGTGGTCTTGATGCAAGCTCCAGACTGGTCACACCTGATAAGAGAACCTGATGAAACTCCACCGACGAGCGAACAATATGAAAGCAAGCTCTAGACCGGTGTAATGAAAACCTGATACGAGAATGAGATGAAAGTAAGCTCCAGACTGATGTAATGCAAACCTGACAAGAGAACAAGATGAGAGCAAACTCCATATCAGTGGAGGCCCTGGCATCTCAAGGGCCAGCGTGCTAACGGAGCATGGTTAGCTAGAGTTTGGTAGATTGAATCAAATAGTTATAGAATCTCAAATTTTATATAATTTAAATCACTGAATCTTTACATCATCTATATCCACGTAACAATTTTGCATGCGACGGGGGCTGGGTTAAGTTGTCTGGAAAAATGTTTGTTCTAGCTCGTCTACTGGAGAACCTACGGAAGAAAACAAACGATAGGATCGTGCTTGTATCGAATTATACACAGCATCTTCTCATCCTCGGGATCAGCCCTCTTCTTCCCCTGTTTGTGCAAAATCCAAGCGAGTTTCGACATCGCCCATTCAAGAAACTTAAATCCATGCTGCCCATTTAAATGCGAAAGATCGAAGAGAAAGGAGAGAGAATCGTGTTTACATATGGGCGATTGAGCAAGAGCTTCCTGAAATCTCTACAAATCGATGCCACTCCCGGGCTGGAGGCGGCGGTGGCGCCGATGATGCCAAGATCATCACAGCATTTGCGCTGGTCGCCGGGGAGGACCAACTCATCAATTGGCCCGAAAGACCCAATGCACTCCTCATCGCGATCTCTAGTAGTTCACTGGCAAACAATCTTTCCTCCGATCTCGACGAACCGGGAACCAAATTTGAAGAGCGGCAAAAACCCGGGATTTCAAATCAAAACCTTTTGCCACGTAGGCGTCGCCAAGATTTTTAACCCCCTTTTGCTTAACTTTTATGTAAAAGGCAGTGAATAGTATGTAGGTTTGGATTAAAGGAAAGGGTTTTTTCACTAGTGGTGAGATGAAAAGCAAAGATTTTTCTGGACTGTTGGTTCTTGCGGACGCTGCAGCCTTGCAGCCAAGTTTTTCGAAGACATTTATCCTGAGAAGGAAGCGGTCTCCACGGAAATCCATGCTCTGGAGGGCTCTACTTTGGTTCACGGCGGATATGAGCACCAGCGAGCCCGATTCCAACGGCAAAAGACGAGTGATTAACCAGGAAGCTGGGCAGCTACACGAGAAGAAACGAAGAAAGGTGGTGGTCATGGACGAATGTCAACAACTGGGACAAAAGGTAAAGAAACTTAAGATGGGCGATCGAGATTGCGGTTCAAGGACTGATGAGGTGAAAGATTCCTCGTCCTCGGGTGAAGATGGCGCGATTCAGCCGGCGGGAGACACCAAGAAAACGAAGTGTCACAAGTGGAGACCCCGGAAACGCGAGGATCCTCTCGTCACCTGCGATCCATCTCGCTGGGCTCTACTATTTGGCAAGAAGCTGACCGCCAGCGACGTGAATAGCCTGCACAGATTGCTCATCCCGGTCAAGTACGAGTCGATGCTCCCGAATCAAAAGGTTCTCGTGGAATTTGTGGACGAAGAGGGCGGAGTTTGGGAGCTCCGGTGCAAGAAAGGGAAAACTGGGAGCCTGATCACAACACACTGGATTCATTACGTGAGGGAGCACTCGCTCAAGGAAGGAGACACCGTTTGTTTTTACAAGAAGGTTTCCTCGGCTGATCCTAAGTTTGGAATCTCATTTGCTAGAACTTCTGGAAAGGCAAAAGGTCATTCACACTAAAGTTTGGGCCGCCTGGGTTTGAGAAAGATGTCAGCGTTAGCCCCCTTGGGGAAGAACAATCCCGGTACGGAAGCGTCCCCCTGTTCCGTGCAAAACTTGGAGAACTTACTGGGGCGGTCTCGGAGATGGCCATGGAGTAGTCATTCGCGGAGATCAGATTCCCGTTTACTTGCTTCGCGGCTCCACGGTTTTGATGCACACTCAAGCCCTCGTCGGCCTTTCTTGTATGATCAAGCTTGCGACGGAGATCCGAGACGAGGCCTGTCAACTTTGCGACTGTGACGTTGTACGGAGGTAACTTGTTTTCCAGAGCAGTGTCCGGATCACTGCGTCCTGGCCGGCTTGGATTCCCATCAATCCGGACAACCAACTGTTTTGAAGAAACAAAGAATCTCTTGAAAATCTTGTAATTCTTTGTTACATTTCGTGCTTGAATGCCAGTCACTCGATTGCTCGAACCTACGAGCGTGTTAAGGCCAATGTACGGTATCACATATGCAGCAATGAGAAAGTTTGCGTCGTTTTCGTACGGATCAAACTGCAAAGAACCACCATCAACTTCGGTGTGATTGTAAACGAGAGCCTTGCTGATGAGGGAATTCCACACTCCAGCATTGATGTTTAGCAGGGACCGACAAATCGATTGTTTGTCCAGCTTATCATGGATTGCCCTGTGTGAAAACAACTTTAGAAAAAAAGACTTGAGAGAAAGAAATGTTAACTACCTGATATGACCTGTAGATTGGAGCCTAAGTTCTTTGGCAACATGCTCCATTCGTGTAGAGAGTTGAGCTTTGCGGCCTCCAATAGGCGGTGGCCCCTTCTTGGCAAGCTTTGTATTAACTTTGTCAAGCCCGTGGCCAAATGCTCCATGGAGGAAGAACACGGCTTGGAGATAGTGAACGTTGAGAGCAAGGTTGATTCAATCGACATCGCTGGAGGTGAAGTTTACTGGCGGCAGTGGTGGTGGGCACAAAGGTGGTGGTGGCTGTGGTGGTAGCATTGGAGGCCGCAGGAATGGAAAGGAGGGCCATGGAAAGTGCGGGATGATGTTATACCACCAGGGAAGTCCATCGTTGTCATCTTTTGCAAGTGATCTTGAGAGCCGGTTCAGTTAAATTTGATAGGCTTTCCAGAGCTCTTGGAAATCCCGGCTCGTGTTGTTGGATGCTTGGGATATTTCGAGTGCTTTCGATGGTGCTGTAGATCGACAAGAAATAAATCGAAAGCAGCAGCAGCAGTGCCAGACGACACTTGCTTCATCACGAGTTCGTTGTCCACCTCTCTGGGTTCTCTAAGTTCAAAGAAACTTTCTTGAAAGAACGGGGACGTGGAGAACACTTCCTCTTGTTAGACCAAGTCGGCTTCAAGGAATTTGGGGATGGATGATCGATTGAAGAACTCAAGTGAGAACCTAGAAACCCTTTAGAAAACTTTTTAACCACCTTTTTGCTTTGTTCCTTATTTTAAAAAAAAAATTAGATTAAAACTTACCTGAATTACCAATAGTCTCTACAAGAGCACGTCCCATTGTCAAAGTGAAGCGACTTCTTGCTGTGATACGAGAGCAAGCACTTCTTTTGCTCGTCCCACGTCGTGAAGCATGAGAGTGGTGTCTGGAGTGTATCCCGCCTTGGCCATCTCCGACCTCAGCCTCTCCAAGATCTCCGGAGTTCAAGCATTCGTCATGTCTCCCGTGAAGGACTCGTGGACTCTTCGCTTCACCGCGATGGAGCTCAAAGCCGGCTCCTTCCTGATGTTCTTCTTGTACATGAGCCTCCCGATCTTGGCCCCCTCGTCCTTCTTCCCGACTTCGTCATAGAGATTCGACAGCACCACGTACGCCACGGAGCGATCTGGCATGAGCTCCATCAAGTGCTCGGTGGACTTTCTCGCTCGCTCCACGTCCTTGTGAACTTTGGAGGCTCCCAGCATCGTGGAGTGGATCACCTGGTCCGGCTTGAGAGGCGCAAACTTTTCGGCATTGTCGAGCTTCCCGGCACTGGCTATGAGGTCCACCATGCAGTAGTAGTGCTCGGCTCATGGGGAGATCGTCGGGTACTCGTGGAGGAGCGACACGAAGAGCTGGACACCGTCTTTGACAAGGCCACCGTCGCTGCAAGCTGAGACGACGCTGACAAAAGTAACATCGTTGGGAAGCTTGCCTTCGTGGTTCATCCGCCGAAAGAGTCAAAGAACTTGGTCCACATGACCGTGCCGAGCGAAGGCCGATATCATCCCGTTCCAGGAGATCATGTCCGGCAGTGGCATTTTCCCAAACATCTTTCTCGTGAGTACCAGGCTCCCCAACTTTGCGTACATGTTTAGAACCGCGTTGGCCACTGTCATCTTGCTCTCCAGCCCGGTTTCTCATATGCGATCATGGAGTAGCTTTCCTTTGGCAAGTGAGGCCTGTGCTGTGCAATTCAAGAGAGCAGCAATGAAGGAGATCACGTCCGCCATGAACCCGTGGAGCTGCATTTGGTGGAAGAGCAGCAGTGCCTCGGAGGAGAGCCGAGGCTGAGTGGCGTAAGCTGTGATCATCATGTTCCAAGACACATGGTCTCGAGCTTTCATGGCTCGGAACACCCGGACGTGTCATCGGTGCTCTTGCAGCTCCTGTACATGTCGAGAATTGTTTGGCACCAGGTCAAAATAATAAGATAAAAAAAAGGGCCTTTAGTTAGCTGGTTTAAGGTGTAAAGGATAGGATTCTAACATTGGTATTGGAGCCTAGTTCAATTCTTGTGGCTGACAAGTGGAGCAAGAATATTCTAAAAGAATATTCAGCATGGTGGATCTAGAAATTTGGTAAACCCCAATTCTCTTGGCCCAGAGCAAGCATTGAGCACCGCCATACACATGATCCTGTCCAGCTTGAAAACAAAACAACCATATACATTGCTAAAATTAGGCTGAACTAAGATATAATGTTCATGAATTAAAGCATAATTAGAGCTAGGATGCAATTAGGTTGTGCCATTAGTATGCACTGATTAAGATTGATTGCAATTATGATTTCAATCAGGATTAAGCATCCATTAGGATTTAATTGAATGCAATTAGGATTGAGATTAGGATTAAGTATCTCATGATTAGATTGCAATTATGTTCTTAATGAGGTTTCAAAAGAACCTCCTTTAAA